TCACATCCTGTAACTTCAGGGGTTCCTCAAGGTTCAATCCTTGGCCCTATACTCTTTTTAATTTACATTAACGATCTTCCAGATATTCTCACATCTAAGGTGGCATTATTCGCTGACGACACTACCATTTACTCTTGTCATGATAAGAAGCCTTCACTCTCTGATTGCTTGGAGGGGGTATCTGAGCTTGAAAAGGATCTCACTTCTGCTACAGCATGGGGCTCACAGTGGCTGGTGAACTTTAATTCAGATAAAACTCAATTTTATTCGGCCAATCGTTATCGTAATAATTTAGATCTTCCTATATTTATGAATGGTAATGTACTAGATGAGTCATCTACCATTCATCTTCTAGGATTAACTCTTACTTCTGATCTTTCTTTTAAACCGTATATCAAATCCATTGCAAAATTAGCATCTGCTAAGGTTGCATCTCTTTATCGAGCTCGACACTTTCTTACTCCAGATTCTATTCTCTATCTCTATAAATCTCAAATCCGTCCCTGTATGGAATACTGTTGCCACATCTGGGGCGGATCTTCTAATGATGCTCTTTCTCTTTTAGACAAGGTGCAAAAACGAATTGTAAACATAGTTGGATCTGCTCTGGCAGCCAATCTCCAACCTTTGTCACATCGTCGTAATGTTGCTTCTCTTTCTCTTTTCTATAAATACTATAATGGGCACTGCTCTAAAGAGCTAGCGTCCCTTGTGCCATCTACTAAAATTCATTCTCGTGTTACTCGCCATTCAATTAAGTCTCATCCTTTTTCTGTGACTGTTCCTAAGTGCTTCAAAAACTCTTATTCTTCTAGTTTTTTTCCTCGAACATCAGTTCTTTGGAATTCGCTTCCTTCATCTTGCTTTCCTGATTCATATAATTTGCAATCTTTTAAGTCATCAGTCAATCGTTATCTTGCTCTACAGATTTAGTCTTTTCTCTTCCAGTAACTTCCAACTCTTATAGTGGTTGCTTGCAGCCTTGTTGGAAGTGAAGATGTTAAAAAAAAAAAAAAAAAAAATTTACCAATAACAAATCCATGTTGGTGAATAAATAGTAGTTTGAGTTTAATAAGGTGCTCTGTGATGTATTCTATCACTAATCTCTCCCTGATCTTACCATGCATTTAGAGTCAACAAGATTGGACGGTAATTTATTGGTTCAAGTTTACATTCTTTCCTGAAGATAGGTAAGATATTTGCATCTTTCCATAGCAAGGGAACAATACCTGTTTCAAAAGATTTTATAAATATATAAGATAATGGAAAACTCAGGTTCTTATAACATTTTTAAAAAACAAAAGTATGTAACAGCGTAGACAAATCAAAACCAGGTGGTTTTGATTTGTCTATGCTGTTTTTAATTAATTTGCATTGTTGTTGAATTCAGTTTTAAGCTTAACTATATTTAATTTAGATGCTGCAATCATCTTTTTGAAAATACTTAATATATATCTTGAAGCTTTTTTGATATCTTTATTCATCCATCTGGGTACTGATTTGTAAAAGTCGAGGGTGGAAAAGGATTTCATGGAAACAAACTAGTTTCTCAAACTAGTTTATTATAAAAGTCGATGAAAATATTATAGCATTGGTTAGCCTCTTTATCATTAAAGTTTATATGACAATTAATATTCACTTATAGCTTCATAATTACCACATTTGTAATCTCGTAAGTTTCTTTGATTGTTTTGTGAACATGATGGATCCTTAACTCGATATTCCCACAAAAATGTCTTGTGGAACTGATTTCACTCGTGAATCTGATATGGGGCTTATTTCTACTACATATATATGGTCAAGATCATCAATTAAAATTATATCAAAAAAGGTATGCTTGAAAGTAGGTTTATAAACTGCTTGAAATAAAAAACAGTCATTTATAGTTTCTAAAAATTCTTGGATTGAAACTCGTCCTTTACACATACCTCCTCCCAAAAGATATCAGGGTAGATATCTCCACATACTTGACCCAAAAGATATCAGGGTAGTTTAGATCACCAACTATTAACAAGTTAGTTAAATTTTTTCCATTGACTAATAAAATTTTGTTTAGGTCATATGAAGCATGAGGATGTCTGTATTTTTTTTTTTTTTTTAACATTTTTTAAAAGATTTTTCTTTTTTTAAAAAAAAAAAAGTGAAAACACTTTTAAGTATTTTATGCATTCTTTTGAGTATTGTACCCTGTATGTATTTGAATATATATATATATATATATATATATATATATATATATATATATATATATATATATATATATATATATATATATATATATATATATATATATATATATATATATATATATATATATATATATATATATATATATATATATATATATATATATATGTATATATATATATATATATATATATATATATATATACATACATAAATATACAACCCTGGGAATTAAGGTCAGCATTCGGCCGACCTAACTGCCGGTTTCAAAGTGTCTGATATTGGCAAAAAATTATCCACCTCATTACAATTTTTTCATGGTAAAACTATTTATATATATATATATATATATATATATATATATATATATATATATATATATATATATATATATATATATATATATATATATATATATATATATATATATATATATATATATATACTTATATATATATATATATAT